AGCCCCCCGGGTGCCTGCGTGCCTGTGGGGTTTGGGTGGGTCGTGGTGGGGGGTGGGTTGGGGGGGGTGGGGGGGGGGGGGGGGGGGGTTGTGTGTGGGGGGAAGGGTGTGTGTGCATGTTTCTTTCTGAATTACATGTTAAAAAAACAGAATGCCAAACAACACTGTAAATAAATTTGCATTTCTACATGTGTAAACAAGAGAGCTTTATTCATGCACCCATGTGCACACATCCATGAGAACATGTCTATCCATCATTAGAGGTACAGTTAGTGTTGAGGTTTGTCTTAAGTGTGTAAAAGCTAAATCGAATGATTATTTAAAAAAAAAATATTACTTACATAATTCTGGAAGTTTGTTTCATTTCTAGGAACATTGGCTCATTTTTAACAATGACAGAGGATTTCTAAGAAAACAATAAAATAAAACTTGCCATGTTTTACTACATTGCCCTTAAAAAAAGTATGATAAGCATTAAAAAAAAAGAAAAAAAGAATTGATTTAGAAAGAATTTAAACTCATTTCTTGAAGGAATGCTCACTGGGCACCACCTTGGATGCTAAAACTATAAACAAAGGTCTCACTTGATCAGATAGCACAAGGAGTATGTTTGGGGATGGCTCAGCTACTACCACAATTTATTTAAAATATACATAAATTTAGCCATTTTTTGTTTGCTGAAAACAAGGTGATGATGAGCTGGCAATCCTGAATCGAGTTGAATCCAATTTGTATTTAAGCGTTGTAACATTTTAATATTTTAACATTTTAATATAACATTTTAATAGTAATCTGAATAATAATTGATTTAAAAAAGTGTTATTTTCTGCTTTTATTATTATTATTATGTATTATTATTATTATTATTATTATGAATTCTATTCAGGTTATTTTAAATTTACTTGATATATTTCATTAATGTATCACTAAAATGTGTTTAAAAGCATTAAAAAAATTAACTGCTTTTAAAACATCATTAAAGTGCATATAAAGCTATACAGTTAATTGACGACGTTCATATTTTGTGTTTGTCTGTCATGTTTGAGTTTTCTTTTTATTTCAGCTGAGTAAAACTAACTCTTCTTCTGAGAGGTGTATGTTTGAGTACAGCTGCTTACCTCTGTTAGAGCAGACCACCCCTTGATGGTTTTTGCAGAGTTCTTTGCTCTTCTTTTTAGACAGGCTACACTCCTCTTTAAACTGGCACATTTCTCCAAACCAGCCATCATCGCACTCACACATCCCACAGTCACAGTAACCGCGATCTAAAGATGATACACAACATCAAGATTTGGTAGCATGCACATCTACATCATTTTGCATTACCCATAGTTATAAGGATACAAATGTAATTGTAAATAAATAAGATGACATTGAACTACTAGGTGAGCACAGTGGGTAATACAAGTATTGCCTAATAACACATTTATTGGCTACAATCTATCAGAAATAATATGTTGTATTCATCCATCCATCCATTATCTTCTGCTTGTTCTGGAGTCGGGTCACAGGGGCAGCAGCTGAAGTAGGAATGCACAGACATCTCTTTCCCCAGAAACCTCTTCTAGCACTTCTGGGAGGACCCCAAGGCATACCCAGGCCAACCAAGAGACAGAGTCTTTTAACGTGTCCTGGGTTTTCCATGGGGTCTCTTCCCAGTCGGACCAGAGCACCTCCCTAGAGAGCCGTCCAGGTGGCATCCCTACCAGATGCCCAAACCACCTCTACTCGCTCCTCTGGCATAGAGGAGCAGCAGCTCTTCTCCGAGTCTCGCCCAGTTAACTGAACTTCTCACCTTACTGGAAGAATTGGAGAACAGGAGAATCCAGCTACCCTGTGTAATCTTTTTTTTGTACTCTATTAATCCCCAGTAGGGAAATTAACTCTGCATGTTTTCCCATTGCACATGTGAGCACACATGTGAAGTAGAGGGCTTCTTCTTTCAGTCACCGCCCAGACTTTGTGGCCAAAGGTGAGGGAATGTAAACCGACTGCCAACCAATAAACAGAAAGTCAGAGTCAGACAGGTTTTATTGTCATTTCAGTTACATACAAGTACATATTGAAACGAAACAGCGTTCTTCCAGGATTACGGTGCAACACAGAACATAACATGCAAAACAATACAACACACAGTGCAGATACACAACAGAACAATAGATTCAAACAGATCTATAATAAATGCAGTATTGCAGTATTGCAGAGAGCATTGCCTTACAGCTCAAATCTCTGCAATACTGCAGATTCTGCACCAAACCATCTGTCAGTCTTCCTCTCCATTCTTCCATCACTCATGTACAAAACTCAAAATTATTTGAACTCCTCCACTTGGTGGAGACGTTCTCCAAGTTGGGTGGAGTTGGCTTGCCCTCATTGCCAACCCAAAGAGGGCAATCCACCCTTTTCCAACTGTGGACAATGGCCTCAGTTTTGGAGGGGCTGATCCTCATTAACCGTGTCACACTCAGCTGTGAACTGATCCTGTGAGAGCTGAAGAACACAACTCAATAATGCCCACGGGAACACATCATCTGCAAATATCAGAGATGGAATCCTGAGGCCACTGAGATGGACTCCCTCCGCCCCCTGGCTGCACCAAGAAACTCTATCCATGAATGTTATGAACAGAATCTGTGATAAGGGCTGTCCTGGCTCAGTCCCACTCCCACCCTAAAGGGGTCTGATTTAATGCTGGCAATGTAATCCAAACTTTTGCACCACTTTTGAAGAGGGGAACCAACACCCCAATTTGACAATTCAGTGGCACTGCTCTGGATGTCTATGTGATTGTAGCATGAAGCTGCACTGCTCTAACTATGACCCCTGACCCTTATTCATCTTTCAGACTCACCATTAATTGTGTTCTTTAAAGTTACCTCTGACTTCAATAATGTCTGATGTTTTTCTACACATTTCTTGTCTTTGGACACAGAGTCAGCTAAGTTCTGACAAATGTTTACCTTATTTTTCCTATGTTTCTACGAAAGAAAAACAACTCATTAATGAAGTTTGTTTTATTTGATTAACAAGTGTGAACATGAATAATTTTGATTATTGATTTCAATCATTATATTGAAATCATGTGAAATATTACAATGTGAATAACATATTTCTCTGTTCTGTTTTCCAGAAAGTGATTATTCCTTCAGAGACACCTGTCGTGAGTAGTCTTTGAGCTGGAAGCTGTTTGCTTCAGAGGGGAGTCACAATGTCCCTGAGAGTAGTCAAAATAATCCTGAGCATAGCTGTTGTTTTACACAAAGATCCTTTGTGTAAAAAGCAGTTCACCTTGGACCCCAGAACTGAGTGGTTCGTTTTGGACTCCCAATGCGGAGAGATCGTCTCCAGCCCCGAACTGAAAGGCGGTTAGTCTTTGGACCCGATCCTAGAGGTTGTGCCAAGGTCCACTCGTTCAACTCCTGAGCAGATAAACATGTCACTCAAATTACAATTGTTAGATAACTGCAGAAGATGAAGCCTTTTCTCACTGCAAGACTCACATTCTTGGCTTGAAGTCCAAACAGGCAGAATGTGCCGATGGACGGTACACCTTCTCATCAGCTGTTGCCCTCACAGACCCCTGAAGCTGTCACAGTGACAGTCAGCTACCTTGGGCAGTTCCCGGCGAGTCCTCCTCATGGTGTATCCTGGTCTGATCCACCAGAAAACCCCAGAAAGACGAGTAACATGGTGCCTTCAACACTGACCCAGTAAGGAGCAGAAACCTGGTGACAATGATACCTTGGTCTGGTTATGCTATTTTAAGCTGATGCAACTTGGTAAATCATTTCCTGGCTTGCAGTGATGATAAATGACTTTATCCGATCAGAATAAATAACTTCTTTCAACCAAAAACCCATGGTAAACTACTTATTAAAATAACCAAACTTTGTCTAAATTCATGCGCGTATAAAACTGAAATAATTCCTGCTCAAAGAGTGAACTTTGCCTTAGATAAGAGATTTAAGCATTGGTTGATTCATTATTATTGTTTGTTTATTATTGTTGTTGATTTTTAGTTTGATTATTTTTGTAATAAAACTTCAAAGACAACTTTGTCTCCATGAGGATTAATATTAATTTGTTATGGTATAGAACTCCCTGTAATTAATGGATTCTACTTCAGTGACTGATTCTGATTATTAAAGGGTGAATATATTAATTTGTTGTTGGTCAGTAAACTGACCAGCAACATCCAGAGCCTTGAGGGACTCAGGGACGATCTCATCCACCACCAGAGCCCTGCTGCCGTGGACATTTTAATGCCTCAGAGGCAGCCCCAGTTACGGACAGACTAACTCCGAAGGCCCCAGACTCAGCTTCCTCCATGGAAGACATGTCAGTGGGATTGAGAAAGTCTGAGAAATACTCCTTCCGCCTTCCAACAATGTCAGTAGTCAATGTTAGGTTCTCACCCTCACTAAACACAGTGTTGGTAAAGTGCTGCTTTCTCCACCTTATCCTTCTGTTAGTTTGATAGAATTTCATATAATAATATCAGTCCTTCTCATAGCAACAGCCAGGGTTGCAGCCCACTTAGCTTGTCAATTCTCTTTAGCTGCCTTCAGAGTCCTACTAGTCAGCAAGCCCTGATAGGACTCTTTGTTCAACTGGGTGAACTCTCTCACCCAAGCTATCCACCCCAGAGTTTAAGGTTGGCCACAACAAGGACTGGAAACCTTGCGGCCACAACAAGAAGGACTGGAAACCTTGCGGCCACAACAAGAAGGACTGGAAACCTGGCAGTCACAACAAGAAGGACTGGAAACCTTGTGGCCACATCTCAAGGCAGCCCCCTCGACAGTGGCGGAACGAACATGACCCACTCAGATTCAGTGTCTCCAGCTTCAACTGGGATGCAGTTAAAACTCCTTCAGGTGTGTGAGTTAATCTTTCTGATGGTTTCTTCTGACAAGTACTCTCAGCAAACCCTCATCAGTTGACAGCTCAGCTCCTCTCTTCACCTGAGTGTCCAAAACATACAGCTGCATATCAGATGACAGCGGCCTGGGGGTGTCCTGGTGTGATGCGTACTTATGGACACCCTGGGCTGTTCCTCCAAATCATGGTCACACTGTTGTTACTCACATGGGCACAGAAATCCTCCAGAACAATAACGGAGTCCCCAGATGGAACACCTTTGAGTACACCCACTAAGGACTTCAAGAAGGCTGAGTACTCTGAACTGCCATTTAGGGCATAGGCAAGGGCAGACTGGGACAATAATCCAGGCCGGGAATTTGATACCATCCTAGGCCACCACCACCCAATTAATGCAAACCACCAAGACTGAGTTAAGTTAGGTGCACTTTGAACACAATATACGTACTTGTTTAACAACGTGGTGGTCATTAGTTTCAGAAGCATTTCAATGTAGAGAAGGGGGAACACACTGGTGGGGGTTCTGGGTGTCTTCCCCCAGAAAATTTTTAATAGAGTAGATGCTATTTCCTGCATTCTGGTGTATTTTAACAGGTTGTTAAACAGCTAGTTTTACCTTCATAAGTAACACTTGATTCAATAAGCTCTCAACCTTGACCTCTCTAAGGGACTTTAAACATCTGCTAAAATCATGGCAAAAAACAATGCAGACATGTTCCATTTTTGTAGTATTTATATCACTTTATAATGTAGTTGTGTTTTTTTTTTTTAATAATTTCTTCCATTTACTTTTCATTTTATATGCTTTTTTATGATTGTCTACTGTTGCCATCTGTGTTCTTTGTTTAAATCAGGTCTTTTTTTTTATAAAGGAGTCCTCAAGGCTCAATGAAACTAACCTGTAAAAAATAAAGGTTGAATTGAACTGAAATAACTATTTTAGAGATAATGTCATAACAAGATGTAACCTGACCAACAGCTCTCCTTGTGTGAATAGAGCACGCTCCGCTTCTCTCACAGATCCTAGCCACAGTCTATGAAACATGGTGTAGCCTAAGTTAACTTTTAGGGGGAAAAAAATCCCTAGCCAATATGAAACGATAATAATAATCACTCCTTCTTATCGATGGCCTAGCATAAAGCAATATGATAATCAAAGGCCCCTCATAACAAGTGCAGGTAAAATACCATCTCTAAACATCTCTGAAGCACGTCCAACCTTGAAGCAGATGGACTACAGCAGCAGAAGACCACACCCAGTGCCACTTTTGTCAGCTAAGGACAGTATTTAGAGACTATAATTCACACAAGCTCTTCAAAACTGACAATAGAAAATTGGAAAAACATTGCCTATACGTCTAGATTCATTAAACTCCAGTGGCCT